GAATCTCTTCATCTAACATCCAAACCAAGTGTGACCCCCCCCCGCACTGAGGCCTCCCACTTTCCAGTAAAATTGGTGAACGGTGCCACCTTTGCCTGTTTTCATACTGGTAGCACATCTCCACAAAGGCAGGGCTATTTCCTAACTCACTTTGGTGTCCTGAGTATCTAACACAAAGTCTGGTATGTAGCTGGCGCTCAGTAAACATGTGTTGACTGAGTTTTGAATATATGTTAATATTTCCTTAGGAAATTCTACAAAGAGAAACAGTAGTCAGATCCCAAGGCAGGATTTTTGACTTGGAATTTTTATTAACAAGAGTAATCTTAACAACCGCCATTTACCAGGCCTGTACTCCTGGGCTGATTATTTTACATGCATTACATCATTTATATTTTTTGACAACCTTGTGAGGGTTTTTCCTTCCAATTTTGTCCTTATTTTAGAGATGAGAAAACTGAAGATCAGAGAGGTGCAGTGCCTTGCCTGAGGCTGCAGGCCATTGGCAGAAGGGCCAGTTCAAATACAGTTTGACCCGACTCAGAGGCCTGCACACTAATGACCACATTTTCCAGCCCTTCTGTCTTTGAGAAGATTCTACCTTCTATGAAAACTCTCATGGCTGGTATTTTGATCTATTATGTGTTTAGCTAAATAGTTAGAAATAAAAAAGACATCTCTTTCCCTCTATCCTAACAGTTCCCTAGCACCACAGTGGGAAATGCTCTTAAATCTCACAGATTTGAGCAGAAAGAAAGCTGTCATTTGTACTGATCCTTGTCCTCCTGTCCCCTAACCCAGAAGCTGAATGCAAGAATACTACTCCTTTTATAACTTTCAATGCAATTTACTCGATACAAGGGGAAAAAGCACAAATTCTCTCAATGTATATTTATTTACAAGTGGCCTATTTCTTTACCAAAAGGTTTTGAGAACTCTTATAACAAAATTCTCATGTGTGGTAAGAGCAGTAAGAGAGAAATCAAGAGCTTGGATTTTGGAAGGAAAAAGCAAATCCACAGACTGGAAGTGCCAGGGGCCCTGACTGTGACCCAGCCTCACATAAGCCGCTGAATCCAGTCTTGGTAGAGGGTTTCAATATGAGGAGTAGCAAAGATCTTTATTGGTGCTTCAAGTCAGGTTATATTAAATCACCATCAAGTCTTAGAAGGATAGGAAAACACTACTAGAAAGAAAAATTATGGGCATGAAGTTGGTCATGAAATGACAGTATTATATAAGAATTTAAAAGGGATCTAAAAAGACCAAGTACCGTTATTAGCTATGACAAGGTAGGCATGGGACAATAAGTGTCCAGGTTTATGTTTCGGTAACAATCATCCAACTAGTAACTGGTGCTTGCAAACATAACTGGTCCCGGAATCTGGAGCCTTTTTTTTTTTTTTGCCCTTCCTCCCATAGAGCTAGCACAGCACACAATCACGATCCACTTGCTACAGGGAATAAATACACCAGAATGCTTCCAATGCAGATAATACCATATAAAAGAATACTTTCTTAGCTTTTTTCCCTTGGACTTGGAAACAGTTTCACTGTCATCAATCACTTTCTTTGGTGCTAAAGCGTTCTCTGCTTTATGGGATTTTTACACACCAAATCGAGCTCGTTATAAAAATGTCACATTTTCTGTTGCTGAAGGATGGTAAGCAGCTGTGGAACTCAGAACAGAAGACATGTGCAGCTGTCCCTCAACAGAATGGCTGGACATTTCCATACCAAGGAGAGGCAGTCTCCCTATCCTGGGGAGGCCAGTCTGCTGTCCCCGGTTTCCAGGCTCACCAGTTATGTCCCCGATTTGGAACTCGGGCCACCATCAGTCACTCTGGGGGTGGAAGGAAAACCAGGAACTGTAGGAAAGCCAAGGGCAGCCTTGAGGCCTAAGCATCAGCAAACATCACCGGGCATGTTGGGGACCATGTGTTAGTCAATAAATGTTCACTTTAGTATCCCCAGTGCCTTACTGAGGGCTGGATATATCAAAGGTGCTAAGCAGCTCCCTGCTGGACTCAGTTAAGGTTTAGAGATCTAAGCTATCAGCTGGGGCTTAATATTGAATATTAATATTGAATACTTCACTATTCTCTTCTAAAAATGGTATCTGAGCTCTCTCTTTTATAGTGTTACTGCCAAGATTAAATGGAGTCTGTGTGTTTTGAAAGTTCTTTCACAAAATATTAGGTGCTACTCAAATACGAGAATCACTGGATGCCAGCAGCTGGCTTTCAGGATAAAGGAATGGCGGCTGCGAAAGTTGTTCCCTGCCTGCCTGAAAGTGGTCTCCTTTTCTGCCAGATGATCCCGAAACCTCCTTTCCATGCCATCTCACTACTTCCGGCGGCTCCAGAGGCTTCTCTATCCCCACCCTGGCATTCAGATCACTCTAACAGAGTGACACCGATTGATGCGGAGGAAGTTTCCTCTCCTGGCTCTGTGACACCAGAGTCACCACTCCCCGGGGTTAAAACCTGATGACAAGAAGTCCCTCATAGAGCTGACTTTACGTATTACTAAGCTTGAATTGAATAAAGCACCAGGCCAAGGCCTTCTGCCCTCCATCCTGTGTAAAGCCACTTCTGCCTAGTGGCTCCTGATCTCAGCAGCCTGCCTGCTTACCTGTGCAAGTTCTAAGGGCACGATTCTATCAGCATAACTCCAAGCAGGGTTTATTCCGTTTTCTAAAAGGACAAGTCTGTACTTAGAAACGGGAAGACCTATTTGTTAAAGTTTTGTTTTTCTGGAACTGAGAGACTTCTCTAAACTTTATAGTTTTTCCTTTCTTAACAAACTATAGGGGTAAGTTTCCCAGACCCACATTTTCCATTCAGGTCAAGGGCCCTCTGCACACAGTGATGCTAGTGTTAAGCACTGCTGCAGTTCAGCATCTGGTGCATGAAATCGTGCAAGAGTGCTTGCAGTCTTTATTAACCACTGTGTACACATAAAACCAGTTAGGAGTTAAACTGAATGAGTCCAGTAAATATTAGTCATCTTCATTCAAAACCTGCATTTCGCTTCTCTGAGAAAGTCCAAGTTGGCAGGAATTATGTGGTAGATTAGATGATAATAGTGTTATTAAACACAACTGTGCTTTGGCTTCTTTTTTTTTTTTCTTTTTTTTTGAGACGGAGTCTTGCTCTGTTGCCCAGGCTGGAGTGCAATGGTGCAATCTCAGCTCACCGCAACCTCCACCTCCCGGGTTCAAGTGATTGTCCTGCCTCAGCCTCCCGAGTAGCTGAGATTACAGGCACGGGCCACTACGCCTGGCTACTTTCTGTATTCTTAGTAGAGACAGGGTTTCACCATGTTGGCCAGGCTGGTCTTGAACTCTTGACCTCGTGATCCACCTGCCTCAGCCTCCCAAAGTGCTGGGATTACAGGTGTGAGCCACCGCACCTGGCCCTGGTTTCCTTTTTCCTTCTCTTACATGGATGATGTGAACTCTTTCTACAGGACATGGATGTGTGTTCTCTTGTCATAAAGATAAACATGGCCGGGCGCGGTGGCTCAAGCCTATAATCCCAGCACTTTGGGAGGCCGAGACGGGCGGATCCACGGAGGTCAGGAGATCGAGACCATCTCTGGCTAACAGTTTGAAACCCGTCTCTACTAAAAAATACAAAAAAAAAAAAAACTAGCCGGGCGAGGTGGCGGGCGCCTGTAGTCCCAGCTACTCGGGAGGCTGAGGCAGGAGAATGGCGTGAACCGGGAGGCGGAGCTTGCAGTGAGCCTGAGATCCGGCACTGTACTCCAGCCCTGGCGACAGAGCGAGACTCCGTCTCCAAACAAAAAAAAAAAAAAAAAAAAAAAAAAAAAATAAGGGAATGATTCCTCTAATGAACTGATGACAAGGTCTGAGTGGCCCCACAAGCCAGGAGGGACCCCAGACAGCTGTTCTGTTCTCCACTATGAGAAAGAAGGGCTTAATAGCTATTTCTCTAACACTAAATTCTAAAACTAAAACAGTTATTTGTACATGGGTCCTCCAAAATTTAATTAGTTTATGTCCAACAATTCCAAACTAGATTTAACTATTTAGGAGAATATTTTAAAACTAGGGTTTCCAAGCAGATTTCCAGGAAAAGCTCATGTTGCTTAAAACTGGTTAATTCATAGGAGCATTACACACAATTGTTTATGGCTGTCAAGGGTTGTTCAAGATCGTTTTGAAAACTTAACAAGCAAAAAACAATTCAGATGAGCACTAGAGTTGTAAAGCAGATCTAACATTCTTTTATGCAAAAAGATTAGGCTTTGCCCCCAGGGACAGCAGGGCGTCTCTGGGTGTGGGCTGAGGGTCACCACTGGGGAGTTGCCTGGGAAGCTTGTCAAAGCACAGATCCACACAGCTCTGGATGGCAACCAGAATCTTAGCAGACAGGGACCGGGCATCTTTTCACAAATTCCTCAGAGATTCTCTGTGCCCAGCAAAGTTTGAGAACTGCTCCAAGGAAATGCAAAGCTTTCTCTGTACTTCCTCACAGCCCCCTAAAACCTATCCCTTGAGGAAGAAGAGCCTGACATGAATCAAGGCAAGCACTCAATAAATATTTGGTCAAGTACAAAATGTACTGTGAAGGATCTTACCTCTTCTCTTTTCCGTATGCTGCCAAGGAGCCTGAAGCCACATTTGAACTCAATTATATAAATTTTCTAAGCCTTCAGAGCTTGTATTTTTAAGCTCTTTTTTTCCTCACTCAAAGTTTTACTGCTATATTCTTCCCAGTTCTAATTTTTACCTTTTATTTATTCACTGGCGTTACTTTATTTTATGGTTTTTGTAAGCACTCTCAGACACTCTGTGGAATAAAGTGGGGTATAAGTATATAAACACAGTTTTACACAGTTATAAATCAAAGTGGCCAGTATTTGTGTTCCCGCCGTGTTCCTTCCCATGCTAAGACCCTGCCATAGAGACTGAGCTGCACTCCTTTGTTCTAGTTGTCAGCTGAGAGTCTTTATGAAAGCACCGGCAGCCTTACTTGTGTCCTTGGAGTTCGATGGCTGTTCCTTTTCTCCCACCGATGTCCCACATGATGACAGAGTGATCTGAACTGCCTGAGAACAACACCCGCTGGACTGGGTCCCAACAGAGAGCGGTCACCCCACCTGAGAGGACAGACACAACCAGACGTCAGTCACAAGGTAAGACTCTTGCCCACCAAAGAAATGTGAATGCAGCGGAGACAGGATCTAGTGCAGTTCTCGGCACACAATAAATTCTTGTGGCAAGAACAAACAAATAAGTACCCAAAGAGAAAAAAATTGGCTCCAAGGAAATTCCCACCCTTTAAGCATTTTTCACCAACATTTCATATACTATAAAATCAATTACTATAAAGACCAAAAGAAAATAAAAAAGACAATAAATTGACCTTCAAAAGGGAGACATAATTCTAAGAAGAATGGAAAACACTGCACTGTTTGGAAATATTAACCACATTTTCTTAACTGCTGCCTACCTCCCACCCCTGACAATGACAGATGAGAAGGAAATGGGGTTTACAAATGCTCAATTAGATTTTTTATTCTTGAATATCAGATTTAATTAGGCCACACTATCAGAATTTAAAATTATGTTTGCTCTTTGGGAATTTTAATTTACAGATTCCGGGAAAACTACTTATGTTCTTAAATGTCAGTTTCCTCAACTGTAAAATGCAGATGATGGTAACACCATGACCACTAGGACTATTACTAAGAATGATAACATCAACCCAGCCATTACCTACCTTCATAGGGTTGTGGTGAGAATTCGATCAATTACATAGGACCACTCCAACACTCTAAACTGTAGTGTGCAGTACAGATGTGGGTTATTAGGATTACTCTAGTGGTATGGCTATAAAACATTATAATAGATTTTTTATGGTAGTCCCTTTGCAAATCAAACCCTTATGTACTGAGAACAATAATAATTTTTTCCACATAAGATGAGCACAAAGCCTGCAAATACTTAAGAATGTCAGAAATACTCATTTTTTTACATTATTAAAACATACTGTATTCTGATAAGAACATAAAATAGCTTCTCATTTGTTGGAATCTGATATTTTTCTTATTTAGATTATCCATTTGTTCTAATGAAGTGCTATACTTTAAGAGCTTTCAGGGAAGTTTCTCTCATACATTTGTTTCAGGAGAATATTTTCTTATTTGTCATATGACTCTTCTTAGTAAGATTTTTTTTAAGATCAAAAAGGGAGGAGGAACCCCAAACTCTACTATTCTGGATTATGCTTCCTAGCATTTTCCTAAACCTGCACCCTATGCTGCTGGTATACACTCCTGCCTGTGTAAGAACAAACATGGCTTCCCCCAGTGCCTATGTGGTTAGCCACCACAAGCAGCCCAGCCCTCACCCCCGACCACCAACATTCCCCACAGCAGCAACCAAACACAGTGAGGCCACTCACTGTGTTGTCTGTTAAACTGTATTGTCAGCTGAATGAATGAAGGAGCAGATGAATGCAAACATAAAGATCATTTCTCCACTTCACACAAGTTCTTGCTTAAAGGTCACCTCCTCAGAAACACCTTCCTTGACTACACGCATCACTCTCCTGCTTATTGTTTTTTTTTTTTTTTAAATTGATTGTCTCCTGCCCCAGTAGGACAGAAGCTCTAGGAGGGCTGGAGCTGTGGCTTGTTCACCACGAGATCACCAAAACCTAGAATTCTGCCTGGCTTACCTACAGCAAGCACTCAATAAGCCCCGACAAATGGGCAAATGATTGAATGAAGGAGTGAGAATATGAAAGAAATGCCCTTGGCTTTGTTCTTGGCAGATTAAACAGGCATATGACATCTATTAATGGGTTAATATTAGATTAAATGGGTTAATTAGGTTAAATGAGTTAAGACTAAATGGGTTAATATATAAGCACACAAAACAGTCCCTAGCGCATGGGAAGAATGTGCCTGGCTGACTACTATTGTTAATGTGATGCCTTCATCTGTTCGACTGCTCACGTCTTTCGGTCATGGAATATCCATGTCAAGGACAATCTCTGAGATGGTCTTGCTTGACTGACTAAGCCACTCCAACTGGGGGGATAGATAAGAGAAAAGTGGCAAGTGTTTGATTTCTCCTATATAACATGTGAAATGGGTAGCTCAGGTTCTTTAAGGCATCATGATCAGATTTAATAATGGTGGGCACTGGTAAAAATAATGATTAGAAAGGTTTACTAGACTCAGTTAGAAAGACTTAATTGTAAGGGTTGTTCATCCTGTCAGAATCAACATGGAAATATTGAAATAGGGTTTACCATGACCCAGGTGACAGATACCTTTAGACTTCCCTGACCAATATACACCTACACATCTAAGAACACATCTAAGAACATTGCACCATGGGGCCGGGTGCAGTAGCTCACGCCTGTAATCCCAGCACTTTGGGAGGCTGAGGCAGGCGGATCACGAGGTCAGGAGTTTGAGACCAGCCTGGCCAATATGATGAAACCCCGTCTCTACTAAAAATACAAAAATTACCCAGACGTGGTGGTGCGCGCCTGTAGTTCCAGCTCCTTGGGAGGCTGAGGCAGAAGAATTGCTTGAACCCAGGAGGCAGAGGTTGCAGTGAGCCGAGATCACACCACTGCACTCCAGCCTGGACAACAGAGTGAGACTCCATCTCAAAACAAAAAAAATGAAAAACAAAAAACACTGCACCATGAAGATCCAGCTCTCTGCCTTCTTTGTTGGGAATATGGGATGAGGATGGTTTATGGGGATAGAAAAGAAAGTTTGGATATGGTATTATAAGTGTACAGGCTCTGGAACCAGAATCTAGTCTTAAATCCCAGCTCTATCTTTATTAGGTATAGGACCTTGGGCAAGTTATTTAATGTTTATGTGCCTCGTAAGTCTCATCTGTAAAACAGGGATGATAACAGTACCTAACCCACAGTGTTGTTGAGATTAAACGGGTTAATATATATAAGCACACAAAACAGTGCCTAGCACATAGGAAGCACCACTCAACAAATGTCAGCTATGATTACAGTACAGGAGACCTCATCTATACAATCTCTGTGACAATGTCCTTTGTTGAGTCAGCCTTAAGGCAGTGACCAGCTTATTCTATGCTATCCCAGCCATCATGAGATCAATTAAGGTTTTAAAAACAAGACCAGTCTCTAGCTTTGCCACATTATATCAGGCCAGAAGGGGCCAGGGCTAGGAAGGGGAGTTTTTGGTAACACAGAGAGTTAGGAAGGGGAATAGATAATGTGGTTAAAGCAAGTCAGGGTATATTCATCAGGCGCTCCCAGGGCCCAGAGTGGAAGAGACAGAAGGAAAAGCTGCAAGACAAGGAGAAGTTTAGGATGGTGTAGGGGGTAAATAACTCTGGGGTCCTATGCCTGCTCTATGTAAATGTCCTAACAATGAGGTCATTTGAAAGTTGGCCCATAAATGATGAATCACAGCATTCATTTCAAATCAGTTCAACAAGCATGTATTGAGCCTCTTCTATGTGGAGGAACTGTGCTAGGCTCGGCAGACACAATGAAATAAGACTTAGACTCTACCCACCAAAAAACAATAAGATGATGGATTACTTTTGAGAACAAGAAGAGCATGCACATTATGTTTGGTTGAGCCACTCTCTTACGGGATATGTGACTGCTTCCCCTGTCTGGAATGCCTGTCCTGCCTTTTATCACCCAAGTAACTTTTTCTCCCTCCAGGAAGCCTTCCCAACACCTTCAACCCAGGTGAGGTTCCAGTCTCTGTGCATATCTCTATTGTTACACAGACCCCACTATATTGAACTTGGTTGGATTATAAGTTGGGTTATGTATCTTTGTATTCCAGCACAGCACACAGTGACTGGTATGCAGGAGGTGCTCAATAAATGTTTACTCAACTGATCTGCTGCACTGAATGACAGAGAGGAATAGGAGGACAATAAGCAAGAGGCATCCAGGACAGCCTGGGATGGGGGCTGGTGGGAAGGCTGTGCAAGACACCAAGGGTCAGAGATGCAGTGAGGAGAGGTGCTGACGGAAATGGCCTCTCCCTTCTGAGGGAATTTTTCCTGCATCTCTCTGCACATAGGCCTTCCTGATGAACTGTATAGTTCTTTCTCCTAACACTTCTGGCAGCAGAGGAAGTCAACCACCTTCAGCCAGCCTGCATTCCAGGCAGTGCAGACACCCACCTCATACCCCAACCCACACTGGGGGCAGAGCCCAGGGCTTCAATGCTTGTGGTTTTCCAGTGTTTCTATTTTAAATGACAAAAAGCATTTCTTCCATTTCATCTGACTTCAAGTTAATCCATCTTTCTGGTCCCTTTCAGCGTTTCATTTTACGCTTCCCCCTTCCTTTGATCTCCCTAATATGACCTACAGAATAATTTTTAAATTAAAATGCTTTAATTCTTAAAAATAAAGTTTTCTAGTTATTCTTTAGTGGGTACAGGTCTTCTATGAAGGATGATGAAAAAGTTCTGTAAATGGATAGAGGTGATGGCTGTACAACACTGTGAATGTACTTTATGTCACTGACTTGTGCATTACTTGTACACTTAGAAGGCTGAAACGGTAAAGTTCAGGTCATATGTATTTTATCGAAATAAAAAATTTCCAAAATACTTTTAAAATAAAAGTTTTCATAATTACACAATGTATACTATTATATACTCTCATAAATATAACTGTTAGTGGCTGGCTAATATCTCCCACGTATGTATCTTATTTAAACTAGTTTTAGATTTTTCTCAACTTTTAAGTATAAATTTTTCCAAGATGAACATTTTTACACACACAACTTTGTTCACATTTCCAATTAGTTAGAAGAGAATCCCAAACATAGAAATGAATCTGAGAGTATAAATATTTTTAGAAATTTAATATATATTACCAAAATGCTTAGGGAACTAATTTTTTTGAGACTTTTATCACATACCTTGCAAAAGTGAATGATCACGTGAAGTGTTACAAAATCAGGGTTGGAAACTGCTGGGTCTGTCTTTCCCAGAGTATGATCTGGTAACTCAGCAGAGGGCGTGTCACACCACACCCTCAAGGGTAATATCTGCAGGCCAACATGAGGCTAAAGGAGACTAAGAGCCTGTTGAATACAATATCTGATCTTTTGATT